GGGGTCAACTTGTCTGTAACATTTCGCTTTTTGTACCATTAGCGAGAGGCATGCTCGCAAATGAGCATCGTAGAGGGTGAAAAAAGAAATCATTTTCGTCGTAAGGGTACACATACTTTTATCAGCTGAATTGTCAATTTCAGTAGCGTACATGGCAATTTCATTTCGTTCGACACCGCTAGTAGTCTTAAGGAGCTCATTGCTTTCGCTGACAGCTGCGATCGAAATCTGAACATCAACTATACCTTCGACAAAGCTGTTGAACGAATCCAATGCAATGTCATCAGACACTGTAGCTGTTTCTTTTGCGGTGTGGATGCTGAAATGTTTTAATCCTATTTCCAATAGCCCTATAACGTCTTTTTCGGCTTCACTTAAGCGGTCGTTTTGCATGGCTTCCGTAATGAACGTATCGAGGATTTCCTACGTGGTTCTTAATTCGACTGGTAATTTTAGGACATGAGTTTTCCTCAGAATTTTAAGCAAGTTCGTCCAAAAATCCTTTTTGGACTCCGACGATTGTAAATTGTGAAACGAGTTCTTCAATTTGTCATCGAGTTCAACTTTATTTGCACTAAATACGGACGAGCACGCAGCCTCGATAGCCCCAATATCTATCTCAGTAAAATTTAACCTTCTACTTTTAAGCTTATTAAAAAAATAGGTTTGACAACATTGTTTGTCTTTTGTTTTTCTGATACCCTGGCATGCGTCTTTGATTTTAATTAAGTCCACCTTAGTCAATTCCAACCAGTAATTTCGCAAGGTGTTTAAAAAGTTGTTCGGACACAACCTATCGTCCATCTCGATGTTCAACGAGAATTCAACAGTGTCAAGCATTTTTTTATAAAGCATATCTGTCACGGCTTGTAGCGTGGACGCCTGAAGAGCGCCTAGATTTGACGCTTTGTCTTGCGATTTAACTTCAGCTACAGTTTTGGTTATCTCGGTAATGTTATCGAACCAGAAAATATTTATAGGTTGACCGGTCGGTTGTTGTAAATGTAGTGCTTGCCATATTAAATCTATATCAAATACCGTTGTGGTCTTGCACGATTCTGCATTGCTGTCTATACCTAGCGATGTGTGATATTCTGAGTTGAAATATGTTATATAAGGTTCCATCCTCTCGCCGATCTTAGTATACATGGGTATGTTTTGAGATTTATTAAATTTTCTGATAAGTTCATTCTGGTTTTTTTAGGTAGTTTATGCGAAAGACATATTCACCCTGACAACTATGGAGAGTGAAAGTCTGTACTTGATTGTCAATATTGTGCAAAGCCATTGAGAGCTTACGGAGTTTAGCATTTATTTTTTCTAAATCTGTCCCGTCCTCGCCGTTTATGAAAGAAACATTCTTACTGTGTTCGAGCTCGGTAAGTAATTTAAACGTCATCAAATCTCCGTACAATGAGTTGTTCGCGGTAAAGTTTGGTGTCATGCGGTGAAACCATGTCAGCGAGTTTAACATATGTGACAACATGGAACCGGCGTCGAAAACATTTTTTAACACAGACTTTGTGCATTTGAGAATATAATCGGCGGAGCCATCAGTTGTTTCGGTCAAGCATTTTTCGATAAACAACTGCGCATAAGTAATGAATTCCCTTATGTTTCTGGAATACACACAACTTAGTATAAGCGACAGGTGTCGTGTTTTTTTATCGGTCACTTGGTCGTACACATCTGTTGTTTCGCCTTCTGGTTTGAGGACCTTGTCAATATTAATAGTCTCGCCTTGATCTATAATGTTCACCGCCTTGAACGTTTGCCATTTGGGTTGCATCACTAAATTGTTGAACAAAGCCACACGATCATTATTGTCCACTGCATATCCACGAGAAATGCATAAAAACCAAAAAATCAAAAAACGAATAAAAAGTTTCAAGTATATGTTTCGCTCGTCAGAGTTAGAATGAATATAATGATAAAATTAATAATTGAATATTTTGTTTTGTTTCTAGGCCATATTTTTTAGAATACTTTGATGTCAACGAACTATTTGCTTTGGGTACTTTCAGCTAGTGTGTACATTATAAAGATAAACATGTTTGGCATCGAAGCAAAATAGTTTATACAAAAATGAAAACACCTATGTATATACTGGTTAAAGTTGGTTTGGGGTATATTTATTGTATCATGGGAAAAAATAATTTGGTTATAGTAAATGGTTTGAAATATCCTACAAAATAGTTGGATATACTATAATATTGTTGTGTAAAGATTATTGAGAAATTTATATATATAATATATATACTGAATACCTAAATAAGTTTCAAAACTACGCTAAAAAAATTGAAGTAAAGAAGAAGTGGTCATCCTTTTTAAGGAAAATGGTTTTTGATAATTGTTTGGTTCTTTAACGTATATTGTTTAGTTCGGAACGTTTACGACTATTTTTGAATAAGTTATAGCGCGCTGTAATTTTTAGTTGAATGATATGTAATGATTTGGGTGTTTTTCTCGATTTTGATGAGATAGGCATGAATTTTTTAAGTCTTTGGATCAATAAAGTATCATTCAAGTACGATGTCAGATCTACAGACTTGCTACATGAAAAAAATCGGTTCAGTGGTTTAGGAGATATCGTGGACCAAACACACAAAAAACAGACAAATAATAAATACAATAACAACACATTTTTGTAAAAACAACATCTTGCCAGCTACGCATTGCCCTAAAGACCAAACTATTATTTTGACTAAACAAAACAAACGACATTTTTAAATTGAAAACCCAGGTAAGACAAATACAACTGAACTCATAACATTGAAAATTCACAAAAACAAGTTCAGATAATATTGTTTTAGCGGTTGTAAACGGTTTTTAATGCGAAAATAAAACTTATTGTTTCCATATTTTTCTTAAACTAGTAATCTACATAAAAAACTAGGTCAGCTCAAAACACCCGATAAATAACAAAAAGTTTTAAAACTAACACCTTAGAATTTATCTCAACAATGTTTGACAGTTTTAGATGCTTTTACTTATATATGTATAATAATTTAGAGTGACCAAGCCCATATTTAAGGGAGGGCTCGGAAGGGCAGTTGCCCTAGCAGAAATATTACAAAGAGGTTTAAGGGCGGCAACATTTTGGTTTTGAGTTTAGGGTCACGTGCCACAGTTTAAAAAAACTGAAGCTGTATAAAAAAAGCATTAGTGGAAATAATAAATGAAAGTTATGGAAACAAAATGAGTGTGGTCATTTTCAGAGCTAGTTAAAACAATTAACAATAAAAACCCTCCAAATAACATAAATAAAATGAGTAAATTCATTAAGGAAAAAAAACTACTTTTCCATGTGTGTACGTTGCTCTCCGAATGTTTTTTTGTACTCCTGATACCAACTGTTCAACGGAAAGATCATTTTCTACATTTCAAAGAATTAAAACGTATTTAAGATAAACCATGTCATCAGAAAGAATAAATAGTTTAGCCATAATAAATATAGAGTCATCCATAACCAAAACAATTAATTACGATGATATTATTAAATCATTTGCATCGAAACGTTTTCACAGCAAATTTTAGAAAACCCTAGAAAGAAGCTAATAATTCTCAAATGTTATAAAATTATAAACTTTTTGAATATTTTTATGTTTATATTATTATGATTTTTATACATTTTTAAAAATAATATATTGGTGAAGCCTGAGTTATATTTTATGTTTACAATGTATTTAGAGAGGTTTTAAGGGTTTAACTCCCACTAAGTTCTTACTCACATCTAAATGAATTTTCATGATGTTTGTTTTTTTATGTTTAATGAACTTCTGAAAAAAAATTCTGTAAGCCGCTTTTCTGAACTTAAAACTAGCTACGCCTATTATTTATAAAGTGTAATTTGAGTTTCATCAAACCCTGAATGCTTATTAGTTACTGTTTAATAATACTAAAATAATAGTTCTATAATCAAACACTTAATACATTGCGCTGGTTTCTAAAATAACTATAAGAAATATAATTTTTATCGTTAAAATTAAAATTAAATTTTTAATGCTTGTAGGGTAGACAGAAAGTGAGAAATTTGAACGTTCTCTATATTTAACTAGTTATAACTTATAATTTTCTTGTATATGTCAAAATGTAAAAAAAGTGACCAAAAATAGTGTATTGTGGCTTTAGCATACGACCAATTTTAGTCTTGTGCAAAGTACAGAAAATAAAGAAACAACAATGTACTCTTTATAACCAATTTTTTTTTTGGGAGTGGGGGGGCAAATTTTGGGTTCCCCCTGGCGTCTATTTTTTTAATACGGCCGGAATTTAGATAAACGAATAATTATTTATTTGGCCAAACCATTGTGCAAAGACCCTTCTCAACCTACCCATCTAGATTAGTGATAAGTAGAAGATAAACTTATGTAATAAGTGAATTAATTGCACTTTTTAGGTCTTATGTAAATACAGCTAACTAATAATGTTAAATAAATTTAACAAATCAGGGAAATTCTACTGTACAAACTAACAATACGATTTTTTAATGTTTTTATAAAGGTAAAACAAATCTGGAAATATATTTCTGAAAATCTGGATAGCACATGTATGGTCGTTTTAGAATAGTGTGAAACATTATATTGATAAACCTATGATAAAATGGTATGAAATATGATCTATCATGATCATCGTAATGGCACGTATAGTATATTATTATTATTATTATTATTATTACTCGACCCAACTACATAATATACATATTTATACCGACGCTGTATCAGTTATTGAATAGGTATTAAGACTAGTAATAAGCAATTGTGTTCAGTTATTAATTACAAATTCACGGAGTCTAACAAAATTGGAAGTACCAAAAGGAACAATACATATGTTGCTTACGAGAAAAACAAACAAGACATAAAACTTAAAGCGTGTTTACGAATTCATGCGATGAAAAACAGCGGGATGATTTATACGAAAACAAACAGAAACTTTTTATCCTACACGTCTATAAAAATGTGTGCTGTTTAAATACCAGTAGTCCTACATTTTAAGAAACGGCGAAAACAATATATTCAAAGTGATTGTTTTGCCGAACAGTATGGTGTCAAACCAATATTAATACCATTAATTTGCCACCATTACAAATGTCTAAAAATTTAGAACGTAAATAAAAATAAAAGTTATAAACTATGGTATAACTCACAAGGCGAATGATGTGCGTGTATTAATGGTTATCTCATATCACTACAGTCATGTTTTCAACGTTTTTGTTTAACTTGTTACTGGTTTTTACAGTATGGACTCCCTTTAACCATTTTGTTCTGTCCGAGGACACTCTCAGCACTTTGAATGCAGCTGTGAAATTGAACGAGTTGATCAAACAGCCTAAATGGAGCAGAGTACAAAATGTTAGCGATCGTATCATATACGATGGCAAACTCATACAAACGGAACATGCTTTTATGTACTTAGACCGAGAAATTATTCCGATAGATATCTCAAAAGAATGTACAGATCATTTAGTAGTACGACCTATTTCAATCATGCTGAGCTGTGAGTATGCAAAACAAATACGAGAATACGTTACATTAGTCCAATGCATTATTGCCGAGTGTAAGGATCCGAAGTATAATAACGGTGAGTCCAGTTGTGAAACTTTATTAATAGAAGCTATAAAATGCACCAAATCCATGGTAACGAACATGTTGAGTAGTTTAACCCATTTTTATCACATGTCGCAGAAAGCGACAGACTTTAGACAAGTTTACGTCGCTTTGATGACACTTAAACTGTATACAGAAAATAATTTGCACATCAAAGTTGAAAACAAAATTGAAGAAATCGAACGATTGACATTGTTGGTTGACCTCCGAGTACAAACATTTGCTGTCAGCCATTGTGTGCCAGCACATCAACCGTTATGGTTAAGTGAAATCAACAAACGGTGTCTACGAGTGAGGTCTTTATGTATAAATAGTGAACTACCGAAACCGTATATTGAATGTCTTAGCGACTCAACGACAAGTTTTGTGAGTACATTTAATTCTGAATATTTTGCCGATCTTGGGTTTAAAGGTTCAGACCTCGACATTGTTCACACGACAGCCGACTTAGATGCTGTGTGGCTATTCCTCAATTCACAGCAGCCGGAAGGTTATTCAACACGGATCCGTTGGTCGAACGATGTTAAAGAGATAACAGAGATAGTTGACATAGTTAAATATCAGTACGACACTAATCAACTCGCGGCTTTTCAAAAAGCAACACTGAAAGCGGTCGCTCAGTTATTTTACAAAGAAGTATCAGATACTATCGAGGCGACGTTTAAAGTGCATGGAAATTTGGCAGACGAAGGACTGTGTCCGTCGACCTACTTACCCACGTTGACTAATTTATGGCCCGGATTGAAAAAATTTCAACTGGCAGCTATTAAAGAAGCTTGCATTTCTCTTAGAGGAGTGAAGACTGACGAAGAATGCAAGAAAAGCTATCTGAGTTCGTTGGAAAGAGTATGGTTGAATTTTAGCAGTATAAACGTTGAGGCTATCACTGTGGCATGTAATGCTATTATCCTACGTAATAGTCAGACTGAAGCAAAGAACACCACGCTTGGGTCGGTGTATTTAAATATCCGTAATTATATCAAGTCTAATAAAAATCCAAAATTTTGGGAAGATTTGAAAGTTATATTTGAAAAAGTCCGTTTCGCTTTGCCAAAGGAGACAACTGAGACGTTGGAAACGATTTTGGGATACATAAAAAACAAGCGAAACGTGAACGAACAGCAGGTTATTAAATTACTGGAATTAGAAATGAAAAATGCCATTGCAGACTTTGCTGAAGACAACCAAGTCAATGTGGACCCAAAAAACTGCTTACAGACCCTTAATGAATTCAAAGGATACATAATAAATAATAAGGAACCTATCCTAAGAGTCAGTCTTAACAATGGCTTAATGTGGAGCCCCTCCATTTGTGAGCTGCCCAAACTGTTAATAAACCTCACAAATTCCGATGTGTCCGACAATCGGTCAAATGAGAAATTCTGCCGGCTGTCTTTCAAAGTCATTAAATTGTTTAAGATGTATAACGAATTTGTTTCAGCGAATTTTCCGGCGAGGTTCTCTCAAATGATCGTTGGGAGCATAAAACATTTTGCGGAAAATCTTCAACCTCTATTGCCAAAGCTAGTGAAAGTGGTGTTTCGCCATATGTTAATATTACTGAAACCGGAAACCGTCAACCTCAGGAACGCATTGATTTTGCTAAAAGTTTACGTAAACGATAAAGGAATGAGCGCTGAAGGCAAGTATGATCTATGGCGATCAGACGAGTTTCAACGGTTGATTTTGTTGATCATAAACCAAATGGAGATTTACATAGTACAAAACTGCGTCATCAATGAATATCAAAAAACAATTTGGCCCGACGAGCCAAAAGTTAGGCTACAAACCTTCAAGACCTTATGGTTCCATCCATTTGAGTCGTTTATAACCGAGATAGACAATGAACTCCCCATTCTAGAAAATATTACGGCGATCGACGAGTGCGAGGTCAGTATGAATAATGCTACTTTTGAAAAACTCGTAAACAACAATCATCACGAAAATAGTCCGTTGAATTGTATTAAAAAATTCAGGTTCAAGTGGAACGAATCATTTGAAACACTTGAAACCATCCGAACGATGGTTGTAACAAATTTTAAATTGGAATCGTTGACCAAGTATCAGGGTTTGGTCCAGAATAGCTTGATGGCCATCCTTTTTGGTTACATACTTAATATTTTCCAAGCTGCCAATCGGCCATCAGGGATTTTCACTACAGAATATAAGCAATTGATCTTATCGAAAATTAAATACGTCGGTGAAATTGTGTACCCCGGTTCCAAACCTGAATCTCTAAAATTCATTATTAATACTTTCTTCTGGTCTTTTGAAGGCGACAACATTTCCCAAGATAAGTCAAAGATTTTGAAAACAAAAATTGACAGAGAATTGGCTTCTTACGATATCGATGAAAAAGGATACTATTCTACTTTGAAACAATACAACATAATCAGAGATAAAGGCATAGAGGGTATAGCCAAGTATATTACACCATTGGAAGAATTTGCGGACGAATGGATTATGTTTGTTAAAAAGGACATGAACTGCGTTAAAAATTGCATGATGGTAACATTATAAAACCATTTCTTTATATATACATATTTGTTAATGTTATATAAATATTATAACAATTATGCTAACAATTATATTAATTTATAAGGATTAAAATGAGTAAAATATTGTAAAACTTGACATATTTGTAATGACCAGTTTAAAAATAACCAACAAAATAGTGAAAATACTCGTAACTTATCAATTTATTTGTTATATTTCCAAGTTTTTGTTGTGCCGCTGTAATTTTTCAGACCTTTACATTGTATTTCAAAATAATTAAATTTTTGGCTGTAAAACAATTATAATACAACAATTCTTTAACTATAACACACGTAGTTTTAATATTTATTTGTAATTGGTCAATTTTGTCGATCGTTTGTAGACACAATAAGTAAATAGATCTAGACTGAGAAATGCTAGCCAAGAAAAACTTAAAAGTAAAAAAAATGGTTATAATATTTAGGAATTTATTTAACGTAGAATCTTATTTTACTTTTTTTAAAAACTGTGTATATCTATCATTATTTGAAATTGAAATGGTAACTTATATGTTTTGTTAAGGTTTAAATTAAAATAATTTACTAAACACTTTAAATGATCGATAACTGGGTTTGAATAGGTAATTATTTTTAGCTTCGATGCGATAGGTGTTTTAAGTAAAATGTTTAAAATTTAGGACGGGAGGAAGGTTTGTAGGAAAGGGTTTGAGAAAGGAGTGTAGTATTATTATTATTCTCGCGCATTACTCAACCACATTTCACGTCCAGTCCTAAATTTTGATCGTCATAACTTCAAAATTAACTATTCAAAACTGGTTATCGACTAGTCAACATTTAACATATAATTTTTTTAATTGAAAAGTTAATTAAAAATATACGTTACCGTTTAAATTTCAAAAGTTGATTGAGCTATGGAAAATACTACTAGAGCGTAAATACAACTAAAATAAACAAACATTTTTCCAAAAAAGAAAATGTACACAATTTTTTTAAAAAGATATTGTTGTACGCCAGACGGATCACCTTGTATTAAGTCCTGAATAGAGTAGATAACGATTTGTCAACAAATAAAGACAATAGAACGAGATGGTAGCCAAATGGTGTACCACGGAACTAGAAAAAGACGAATTATAAATAATTGGCATCAAATTGTTTGACAGTGGTTTATTAATTTTCAAATTAAATATCTGATTCGACTTCACTGTCTTGAATATTATTATTTATTAGTTTATACTGATAAGTACTAATAACATCATCGATCTGTCCACCATTACGTTCTCAATTAAGGCCCCTGGATACCGACCGTTTTTTCAGCCAAAACACATCATTTTTTGTCCATTGCACAGGCCGAACCAATGATCCGATTAGCAATCTAAAAACAGATATGAATTTGTCATGAAGTTTACTTGAGATCGGTCAGAGTATTTTTTTAATTTTTAATTTCAACCCTTTCCAAATTTTATTTTAAAATTTGAAATTTTATAAAATGTTCAAACGTGTTTTATGCGTAGCAGAAATGAGATATCAAAAAAGTACGCTGATCGGTCTCAAGTAAACTACATGACGAATTAAAATTTGTTTTTAGATTACTTATCGGGCCACTGGTTCAGCCTGTGCGATGAACAAAAAATGTACTATTATAGTGACTAAAATGGCTTTTACTCATAGACAAAATAATTTAAATTAAAAATAATACCATAAAGTTTATACAAATTAACCGGTTAATTAATTGACATTTTCGAAATTTATTAAAACCACTTTTCTTTTAAATATTGCCTATATAAAACTCCTTAAAAATGATCGGTATCCAGGGGCCTTAAGCATATTTTTATTAGTCTTAAAAATGTCTGATCCTTTTTTTGGTCCTGATGGCTTCCCTAATATTTTACTAAGTCTTGTTTATATGCATCCACTATTCTCAATAATTAATTGTTTAGCCGTTCATTGCTTTTAGAGATTTTTCCTAAATTTTTATAAATTCTTAGTTTATATGTTTTTTTTATGTGTCACATTATTTTACTGTACTTGATCCTTTGCGACGTATGTTTAATAAATAAATCATTTTAATAGCTTCATTTTTTTGCCTTACATTGCTCCTGATATATGTTATGTTTAAAGAAGAAAAATAATTATAGCAGGTATACGAAGTTGGCGCTGTTTTAATGTTTTGATTTCTGCCTTTTCCAACTACGAATCACGTATGGACAAAAAAAGCGTTTATTTAGCAAATCTATCCAACGATATAGTGCGTACTTACAAAATAAATATTGGTAAAAAAGAACAATAGGATTCGACTATATCGAACAAATACTGAACATGTTGTTTCACTAGGCATGCTATTTACATTTTAGCCGAAAAATCAAAATATGTAATAAATAATGTAAAACTACGGTGGCTTTATCAAGTGTTTTTTTTTTATTGGTGTACTAAGTACAATGTACGCATCTGAGTACAGACTCTACTGACGTAAGCCTAAATAAACATTACTGTTTTTGTATTTTTGGTGTAGTTAAGCTATTTGTTTTTATGAGTAGGTATTGCTTCAAGTCCGCCCACATCGTTTATTGTGAAAAATTACAGCATACTACAATACAACATGCAAAATAAAAATTATAACAAAACACAATACATCTCTAACATATACAATTGTTTAAATATATAATTTTTATTTTATACCACGAACTAAGATAGTATCTTAGTTAACGTTAAGTAAACATCTTTGAGTAGATGTTTTACACACACATGAAAATCCCACAGATATGGCCGACGTTGACTTCAAATCTTTTCACTAGTTAATAATCTATACATATATCTGTGATCGCCATTTTGGTCTATAGCATCGCTTATCTGTATATTCTAAAATCAACGGCTTTTCTTTTTATACTAAAAATTCCAAGTTTACAACAAATCATTAAACGTTGACAATTTTATCGAAATAAAAAAAAAAACAAAATGAAAACACCTGCAAGATTATTTATTTATAAATATATATTTATAAGCAGCTCAAAGTACTACACTGATCGGGAATCGTCGCTTTACTCCTAAATCAAACAGACAATCAAATTTTACTAAGGCAAAATTAACTATTTTTTTTCTTATTTTACTACCATCAACAAAATAGATTTTTTTTTTTTGAAAATTTAAAAATTAAAAAAAAAACTTAAACCCAACTGTACTCATCTCATATTTGAACTATGATGAAAACAGTATCAAATTCTATATAAAAAAAAAATCAGCCATTTTTCAGCTGAGCCTGCAACCACGCTAGAACATTTTCATGTCTCGTTGAAGTACCAAATAAATTTAGATTAGTTGTGGAATTATAATTTAAAAAAAAAAATACATGGAGCTTCCAGTTACAGCATAAGGCCAAGGAGGTTAAAAAATTATGTACAATCAAGTTTCTGGTTAAAATTGTAGTGTTAATTATCTGGCCAAAAGTAACTTAACATAGAGAATTAAACTATTTTGAATTTATTATTCATTTCTATTTTGAACGTTGAACGTTGAACGTACAACATATCTCTTATCTCATATCAGATAACAGCGTAACGTTTTTTTTGGTAACACTTTTTTTCGGTTATGTACCGGCTAATTCTCACCCCCATCTCCCGTCCCCAACCCCATCTCCGTGTGGTAACGCTTTTTTTCGGTTATGTGCCAGAGCTAAGACATGAAAATGTCAAAAAAATATATCAATAAGTCTCCACGGGTTGTATAATATATACATAGGGCGATTCATAAAATGATACAATATGTATAAATTATTTGAATCGTTAGAAAGTGAGTTTTTTGTATTATTTCGCACATCGGCGAACGTGTTTAAATAGTTCACGTTGAGTTCAAACGTAGGATTTTTTAAATTTAAATATTGTTGATCGAATTCTTTTGCCGTATCGAAAACCCAAATTGTTTTTCTCGCGTTAACTCGAAAACACGAGTTTTTTCTTTTAGAAAAACGCCTGTTTATGCGATTTGATGTGCGTTTCTATTTCCACTGTTTACATAAATGAAAAGTATTGTACCTAACCGTTTATATAAAAAATGTGTACACGTTCAACAGACTGTAAACACTATTTAGATACCTACCCATATTGAGCTTGCTTTATAATAATGTGAACCTAACGACGAAAAACTCAAGGTCCTTTAAAATTTCATGGCCTACCTGACTTGTTAAAGATTTTCTAAAATTATGAAAAAACGATCTATGCGAATCATTTCTGGTTTTTTATCATACAATGATATTTCTAGGTCTATGTAATTTTTTCTTCTTTCTGCAAGATAATTTAGGGAGGGGTTTTTGGAATCTCTCATCTAGCTACCTCCATATTAATTTAGATATGCATGCTAACATAATGTAATAACGAAATTAAAAAAGCCAGTACAGTGGGGTCGGGGCATAGTGGGGACGGTGAGGTCACAGGTCTACAGATTTTATTATAGCTGAAAGTGATAAAATCACTTTTAAATAAACGCTTCGATGCGAAGCTATGGATAGTATGTTCAAACCAGTTATAGTGGTATAATTGTAAAGTTGCTACACGAAGAAATCGGTTCAGCGGTTTACGAGATATCGTGGGTCCAGGCACAAAAAATAAAAAATAAAAAACATCATTGTAAAAACAATACCTTCTCAGCTCCGCACCTAAGCTAAAATAAAATTAATCAACCTTTTTTTTTGAGTTTTACTTTGGAAATAATATATTTATAATTGTATTTATTAAAATTACTATCAAATCCTATTATATCTTATTATACAATCTTAGATTTTATATATTACTACTATATTAACCGTAAGGGATTTGTTTTTTTTGTGGACTGTGCTTTAGATACATTATACATATTTTGATATGATATGATTTTTAACTGATTCTATGTTAGGCTCTCGATTTTGGCATATAGCGGTTGAATTTAGTACCACCTACATGGAATGTTGAAAAAATAGAAATCATCGAGTTCAATTCGAAAACTCGTAGAAAAAAACAAATAGAATTCAGGTCGTCTGATCTGCATGGAAATATTGTAGTGTTGGCTAAGACATATAAGATATATTTTAGTTAAAACTAAGAAAACCTTATTTAATAAAAAGTATTTCTTCTATTATCCCACAGTAATTCAATGACTTATTACTGATGATTTTATTTTAACGTGTGTAATCGTTAAAACCAAGTGTTAAGAATAAGTTTGTACAGCATTTTTTTGTAATATTCAAAAAACAATATTTTTTGTCGTTTGCCAATTTATGAAGAATTAATTTTTTTATAATATATTTTGCTGAATCTGATAATTTATGTTCTTTTATTTTGTTGTTTGTCAGAAAATTTATTTAAAACATACATTATTGTTTTTTGACTAATCAAATAATACGATAGTGTACTAGAGTCTAGACAGTAGACATATTGCAATGCAATGTTTTGTAGGTATATTTTAGTTTAGATGATTAAACGATTTTTATAGTTAATATTTCAACTATTTAAAAATCATTATGCCTACAAACAATTGTACTAGTACTTATGTGTACATGATTGATGCACTATATTTTAGTTTCATTACTAAGTAAATAATATAACATCAATTATATAATACGTTAGTCTAGTCTCAAATATAAAACCGTATACAAATTATAAAGAATAGATTAGAAGTTCTAATATTATAAAATGTACAAGACTTTTAAATTTGCCTCTGCTTAGTTATCGAAGGCGAAAACGATTTAAAAATGTGGTTTATAAAGGAATAAAGATTAATTCTAAAAATATGATGACAGAACAATAAAGTAGTCTTTAAAAAATGAATTATTCGATTTTCGATTTAATCAAATAATATTAAAATATGAAGTAAATGTTGATTCACTGAAGTTCCGTTTTTTTTAGTTTAATATTTTGAATAATATCATACATTTAAACTTGATTTTAATATTATAATTACTTAGGTACCTACTAGTATTTTAAAAAAAGAACATATAAACAAGTTTGATTTTGTACGATGTGTCTACCTTTTAAAAAAAGTTTAACAATATTCTAAACGTAAATAACTAACAAAATTTTTCCTACCTGTTAAAATCTGATTTTTCGAGTATTTGATTGAATATTGTAGCAAATCAATTGTAGGCATCTATTGTGTATAGTTTTTATTTAATATATCTATCAATAAAGATGCTAAATTTGGTTTAATAATATTATATTTAAAAAAAAGGCACTAGTTACTATTAATATTATATATTATACATCACACATATAAAATTGCAAGGTAAAATCAGCACAAATAAGTCATAAATATAAAAAATGTTCTTTGCTATAAAATTTTAATTAATAAATATTTGTTAAACTCGTAGCCTAATAATTAACGTTACTGATTTCAAAACAGTCAGAAACTTCAATTTCGTAGTGTACCGTGAACGGTTATTTGGATCTATTGGCACTAATGTGCGAGCTATCTGATTTAATAACATGAGAATTAAATAAAATAAAAAGCTCTACCCCAATGAGGATATAAGGTAGCCTGGTATATATACTGCCCTTTCGTTGCCAGATTGGTTTCCAAAAATACAGGTTTGATTTTAACATAAATTAATTAGATGTGGGCCATTATTGGGGGCAAATTTAATGGACACCGCGTTCCCCTAATTTGTGATTTGATGGACTAATTTTTGTGGAGTTATGTGAAACCCAAGTTATTCTTTAATCATCCAAATACCGTCCAAAAATGTTAACAAAAAATAATTGGTTTTATGGCAATATCCCTAACCTATTTTCGACTGTGTTAATTGTGGGTTTGAAGAACCTTAGTACTAAATATGTTCAACCGTATGAGATCATCATAAACACTTCATATAGGCACCTAGAATATTTATTATAATTAAAATAGAATAAATAGAATAGTATTTCATTTTATTAAATAACGTAATGTGTAATTTTTAAGAACTTTTATCTAATAATACGTTACTATAAAGATAGATAATATTTTAGATTAATTAAAGGGTTTCGTCCAGTTTCCCCAAAGGCCTGGGAGATGTATTGTGTTTTATTTCTAAAAATAAATTGGATCAAATGTTTTCGAATTTGTTTTCAAGTTTTGATAGTTAAAAGCGATTAAATTATCAGAAGAGTTCTAACTCGAAATCACTTCTTCGAAATTAAATTATCAGGAGACGATTATACATAGTTATATGACAGTACCTCACCACTAACATTACGGTATAACATAAAACCATTTTTTAAATTTTTTTTATGAAAAACCGATAAATTAAAAACGGCATTACATTAAAAGAAAAAATGGTATATTGATTTAATAAAAATATAGAGAAGGTACCTTACCTATACTACCTGATACTAATGTCTGAATAAAATTAACATAGATAATAAAAGACATTTGTAATTGATATAATTTCCGGCTAGGATAAGTGAATGTAAGCTATGTAATTGAAAACCTACTCACAACGGGCAACCACAATTGACACTCAGAAGTCAAAATATTTAAAAAATCAAAAGCTTATCGGAAAATCAATCGTTTCCAAACATTTTAAGCCACCTGTATGTCAAAATGTATATGAATTGTAAGTATGATACTTTAAACTAAAAAGTTTTAAGTAAATTCTTCGATTCAAGTACAAGCACACCGTACTATTCTTTTTTTTTATTATTTAAAAAAAAATAATTTACAATAAGGTATTCAATATTATGAAATATACCACATAGAAAAACAAATATTATGTATTATAAGCATTGTTTAAATATTTTATGACTCATCTACCTACTCTAGATTTGTAAAGCATTACACTAAAGTAAATAACCAAACAATTTTCATGTAAAAATTAAATTTTTTTAGAATTTATACTAAAATGTTTAGAATTATAAGCCTATTTTTTCGAATCAGATGTAGGAATTTGCAATACTCTACATTTTGGGGACACAACATAAAGCTGTTACAGGTAAAAAAAGTTTTTTCTGTAGATATCCAAAACAAATATATACATTTGATATCGTTAATACAAATATAAATCTACTTGGTTATACAGATGCCTTAATAATGTTCAAACCCAAAATTTTGTTGACGTTAAATGCAAATAAAACTACAAACCTGTAAAAATGAATTATATAAATTCAAGCCGCTGAATACTTGATTTCATATTTATGTTCATAGTTTGACAATTCGCGTTTCTATATTATAGTCATGTACTCAAAACTGTTTTTAAAGTTTTTACTTGCATTGTCGGTATGTATTCCTCACCGATTCATATTGGCTAATAACGATGCTGTGGTTGAACTGGAAGAGTTAATCCAAAACACTGGCTGGAAATCAATAGAAAATGTAAAAATCTTAGACGACGGTAAAGAAATAACTATGTTAAATCTGTTAAATGCCTCTAATAGTGAAATAACTTCTGAAAGCTCTAACGGACAGTTGACAAGACATTTGGCAATCATGCTAAGCTGTGAACAATCAAAATTTGTAAGAGAGTACATTATTTCAGTTTTAAGCATTATAAAAATATGCGGAACTCAAGCATTCGGGAAAAAACTTTCCATTTGCTTTAATTCATTATTGGGAAGTATTGAAAAAATCGATTTTATGATCACACAGATGTTGAACGTTTTGACGTATTTCTATCAGTTGTCCCCTACTAACACCGATATTAAACACTTTTATCACGCTTTGATGGCTTTGAAACTTTACTCAGAGTATGAGACAAATACCTTTACGGAGTCTAGTTTTTTTGATGATGAAAGTAAACCAAATGCAAATAATATCGCTATGAAATATCAAGAAATTGAACAACTACTTTATTCCAGCGATCTTCAAATACAAAGGTTTACGGCAATGTACTGCTTGCCAACAATTGAACCAATACGACTAAATGATATACCCATTTATACCAAGATATTGTTTTCTAATGAAAGTTCTCATACAAATGAAAATTTTAGTAAAGCAACATCGAATATAGTGAATAAATTCAATGAGGAACATTTTGTTGCACTCGGATTTGCACATCTGGAATTATATAAGATTAATAACAAGAATATCGACTTAGAGCACATATATGAATTACTTGATCAACAGCAGCAAGATGGTCACAAAATACGATTACGCTGGTTAGACGAGCCTACAGAGGTAACAACCATCATACAAGAAGTTAAATCTCAGTACAGTACCAAGAAATTTGCCGCATTCCAAAAATTATCTCTGAAGTCTATCACCCAGATGTTTTATAAACTGTTATTAGTAACTGTCCAGGCTTTCCAGACTTTCCAGACATCGAGTGATACAAAAAACGAAATAAGACCACCGAATTTTTTTACTATGTTGATAAACAATCGGATAGGTCTTAAAAACGTGGTTCAGCATGGTATATGTACTTCATTGAGAATGTTATTTCAAAGTATTTTCCTTTTCCTTTTTCGGTCAAGCAAACCAATAGACAATGGACTGGCGTCGGCCAAGAAAGAGTTTTGGGTAAATTTTAAAAACGAATTGATAAAATTTCTGTCTGTAGATTGGCCAGCAGAGGAAACAGAGACTTTAAAAATTCTTATTGTTTATTTAGAAAATGAGTATATTGTAGATCCAGAAGAAGTGGTTGAGCTATTGGAATTAGAAATGAAAACGACTAGTGCTGACTTCGCTGACAATGAAGAGAATCTCGAAGAGATTGACTACGTTAAACGATTAGATAACCTTATGAAATTTACTGATGATGTTGTAAAACTGAGAATGTCTATAAATAATGTAAACCTTAACAATGCTTTATTGTTGAAAGCTTCCGATTTTGAAGAAACTAAATTGATAGAACTCTCTGAAGAATTCGATAGTGTGACCCAGTATAATGTTTCTAACTTGTTAACAGGCATTGTAGATGTCTTCACCTTTTTCAAAATACATCTGGATCGCTTTAACTGTTCAGAGACAAGTGAAGCTATTTCTAATTTTAAAAATTTAAGTTTATTAGCTGAAAAATTCCAGAGACAATTATTATCGATAGTTCGGATTTTGTATTTACAAATGATTAAAACACCAAAAGCAGAAAACGTGAATATTCGAAATGCAATCGTTTTAATGTTTATGTTTGATACAAACTTAACAAATCCAGCGGAAAATAACGTAAATGTCGATTTACAGAAAGCGAATGACAATTTACAGAAAGTAAACAAGCTTAAACAATTGACCCTACTCATTATAAATGAAATTCAATACTTCATTGTACAAACCTATGGCGCTTATGCATACAAAAACAGGATGCTAATAAAAAAGAGATCTGAGTCATCAAGAAGACCCCAAACTACAAATAATACAGTTATTGCGAGCATTGCGGCTGTTATACAATATATGAGGGCCATACCCCCGATCGATAATGAATGTGAGATTACCAAAAGTTTAGGATCTTTTGATACGCTTGTAGATGGTGAAAAAGAAGATCTTAATCCGCTAAAATGTATTACCGAATTAAAGTTCCAGTGGGATGGAACATTACAATTAATTCGAACTATTCGAGATGATGTCCTATCTAGTATAAATCCAAAAAAGTTTGCTGTGTATCAGGGTTTGGTTCAAAACAGTGTAACATCCATATTTTTAGGATACATATTGAATATTTTACAGGCTGCAGGTCAAAACGAAGTTAATTTTACCGACGTTCAAATAGCATCGATTTTGGAAAATTTCAAACAATTTGAAAGCATCGTGTATCCTAATTTAAAAATGGATTCTCCCAAATACATTTTCAACATCCTCGTTTGGTGTTTCAGGCAAAACAAAACTTCCGGTCTGAAAGCGACTATTTTAAAGGATAAAATCGAAAGAAAAATTGAATTTTATGGTATAAACATTTCCCATTACTACAGCGTTTTGAAGTCAAACAACATAATCAGTGACGTACATGCAAGCGGTGCTGTCCAAGAAACCTATATAGAACCGTTAAAAGTATTTGTGGAACAATGGGTGGTGAAGTTTAAGCACGATTTCTACTGCGTCGAAAATTTCATGAAATTGGTTATATAAAACTGCCAGTGAATTTATTATTTAATTTTAAATTAATTTTCTGATGGGTATTTTTATCCAGTTTTTCTTAATTATTAATCGTTTAATTATTTTCTCAATTAAACAAAACTAACTGTCTTTCAATTCAGAAGACACTAATGTTATTTGTTCATAAGAATAAATCACTATTAAGTATGATTTAAAAAAATGTTAAGCTAGTTATGTTTTAAGGTATTATTGCCATACTAAGTATTAATGATTATTTGACAGTTCATATGTTAAAATGTGGTATGTTGTAATAAATATCAAATAAATAAATTTTAAATATCATAATTTAGTTGTATTATTTAATTAATGTCTATTTTTAGTATTAGACACCTACTCTACTACAAATTGACTGGTTCAATATTTTCTATTTGTTTCTTAAGTATTTACAAAAGCATACTTAGTTTAATGAGCATAAAGAGGACCTATAGAATCAGAATGATGTTAAGTGAATAATACATTCCAGTAAAATTGATATTTTACTCGTTTTGACAATTATAGCGTTGACAACTTGTTGAGTTGACAACGGTCTACGGGTGTTTAAGTAAAGTTATTAAGTGATTTGACAGCCAGTGTTTCCCTATAAAAGGAAAATAATTTTATTTATTATCATTGGATAAAACGCTCTCTGCGTGGTAAAATATTTACAGCTTGACACAGTAGCAACTAATGGCTAAAAGCAGTGCTACACGAACTAAAATTCTACCAAAACATTAACATTAAAACATGATTTTGGTGTGGTCGAATATAATAACTGTCAGGTATTTTATATTCGAAACAACAAAACCCTACTTACATAATTCGACAACAGCAATTCTAAAGAATTTAAGAACTTTTAAAATTAATCTATGCAATATTTAGTGTCCGATAAAAAATATATAGTTTTATTCCTTACAAACCGATCGTGAGGGTTCGGTTAATTTTTTTTGGGGGAGTGCAAAGACTTCACCCGCATGATCTTGAAGGAGGAGTTTCATCCTTTAGTCCAGCAAAAAAAATGAAATTTATTTTTTGAAGTAGGTTTGCTAAAAAAAATGTTTAAAACAAATCTAGTTCTGTATGGACTAAACGTCACTAGGCCTAGGCTGAGTCGTACTTAAAGTTATTCGCACGTTAAATGCGCACCTGCAATCCTAACCATTAAACTAAAACTCCGTCCAAGAAGAACAATCGTATTGAATAAAGTAAATGGATATGAGCATTACTTTCAAAACAGGAGCCTTATCATTTACTACTATTTATCTTTTTATATACCAACCATACTATTTGACGCCATTTTGGGATAAATTACTGAAATGTCAATGGTTAATGGTTTAAAGCTACATATGTACGACCTCGCATTTTATTTTCAATGCCTTCAAATACCAATAAATAAAAATGGAAGGTTTAAAAAATTTAACAATTTATGCTGTTGATATTTCTTATAGTTGTTTTTAATGAATTGCTAGATATATTATTTTTGTTCTTAAATCGTGGCTTACACAATTCTGCGTCCGCTTTCTAACGTCAAGTTCGCCATATTCTAATGAATCATCACCAATAAAATGTAGGTATGTGTAAGACTTCTGACAACATTTAAAAACATATAGTTATTGCAAACAGTGTGATTGGAAGTAATATTTCTCTAAAATATTACATTGCATAATTTGTATTTGCTATTTACACGATGTTTACATAGTCATAGAATGTGTGGAACCGAAGCAGTATATAATATAAATCACCATGGGCAAAATATGAATAATACCATAAAAAATGTCAAAACCAATAATTTGTGGATGTAATATGCAAATAACTACTAAACACAAAAAATGAATGTCTATATGTAAACTGTTGATCGCCTGTTTTAACACGTTTACCCATATTGTAGGTAGTAACACGTATCTAAATGCAGTCATGCACTTAAAATTGCTTTTGAACTGTTTACTTGTTTTTTTGGTAAGTATTCCGCACCATACAATTTTGGCTCAGGACAATGCGACGATTAAGCTGAATGAGTTGATGAAAAACCCCGAATGGGGTTCGTTGAAAAAAGAAAAAATCATAGACGACGGTAAGGAAATAACTATGTTAGAGATAATGAATGCCTTTGGCAATAAAAATATAATCTCTGAAACATCTAACGAGTCGCTGATGAGACATTTGACAATAGTCCTAAGCTGTGATCAATCAAAATTCGTAAGACAGTATATCGTTTTAGTATTAGCTGCTATACTTGAGTGTAGAGTGATAAAAGTTGTGGGAAACCATTTCAATTGTGTTAATTTATTGTTGGAAAATATTAAAAATATCGACTCTATGATCACACAGATGTTGAACATTTTGACGTATTTCTATCAGTTGTCACCTACCTCAACCGATTTTAAACAATTTTATAACGCGTTGATGGCCTTGAAACTTTACTCAGAGTATGAGACAAATACCTTTATGGAGTCTAATTTTTTAGAAGCTCTAAGTAAACCAAATGAAATAAAAATCGAAATGAAATTTCAAGAAATAGAAAAAAAAATGTTTTCTATCAATCATCAACTACAAATGTTTGCGGCAATGTACTGTTTGCCGATACCTATACAATTACGCCAAAATGAAATAATATCTCAAAAAAAACCAAGTTTTAAATTAATGCAAAATACTATGAAGGAATTAGTAAACACTTACAACGAAAGGTTTGTTGCACTCGGATTTGAACATTTGGATCTATATAATAATGATGCAATAAATGCCGACTTGGATACCATATGGAGATTACTTGATCAACAGCAGCCAGGTGGTCACAAAACACGAATCCTATGGTTAGGTGAGCCTAAAGAGGTAAAAGCCGTTGTACATGAAGTCGCATCTCAGTACGGTACGAAGAAACTCGCCACATTCCAAAAATTAACACTTAAGTCTATCGCCCAGATGTTTTATAAAATAATATTAGTAACTGTGCAGACTAGTTTCAGTGATACAAAAAACAAAGTTGACGAAGGACTCTGCCCGCTAAATTTTTTTACCACGTTAAGAAAAAATTGGGTAGAGCTTAAGAATGATCATTTCCCAGCTATTAGAGAGGCTTGTTTGTCTATTAGACACTTCAAACCCGTAGAAGAATG